ATATTAAAATACCTAGTAACAATTCTATATAAAAAGCCTAATAGAACATTCACAACCTAATGGTTAGTTTCCTTGAGTAATCTAGGATCATCTTATGTAATATGCAGAATTGGTAAAAGATGAATAATAATAACAATAATAATTTAATAAACTTGCATGCTGACTCTCAACGAATCTGGGTGGTTCACAACAATCAAAGAAATTACAATAAAATCAATAAAACATAAAAAACAAAGATAAAATAAAGATCTCAGGCTCTCTCAGCACAACCTACCTCATAATGCTGGGTGACTATACAAACTGAGAGAATAAATGAAATTGTGAGGATAAAAGGAAGGGAGATCCATGGAAGGGACTGTGTAAGGCACCATATAAAATAAATAACCCAAGCACATAAGAAGAATCTTACTGAATTGGGCCAAAGCAATATCTAATATATTCATTCAAAAAGCTCACAAACATGGATAGGAAGGTGATGACCATTCTTCACTGTGGCTTCCTGCAAATGGGATTTAAGATACATGACCTGTGATTTCAGCATTAATACCATCTACCAGCCCAACCCTCTGTGCATTTGTCTTGTTCTCTTTGAAAATCAGCAAAATCGGTGGCATCATCATCACGTCTGATGGCAGTGAATTTCATACTGTAACTACATGCTATGCTCTGAAAAATGGCATTTATTGGTCCTGAATCCTCCCTGACAATATTTGCAAAGCTTACTTATATTTAGAATGATTATTCATAATTACTGGTTTGCTTAACCTCAGATGAACGTATGAACCCAGTTAAATGTGGTTTGTTCAATACACTACATCATCTGCGCTGGTCTATAAATCATAACAGATGAATTTACAATCCATACTAAACCAAAATCTAACAGAGCCATTATGGCTTAGCATGCTCCAGGTACTTGGACCCTTAGTTTAGTCTCTCATTTTCAATTAGTTGGTGTATCAAATCAACTATCCCTATCTGTTGATGTAGAAGTCCTGAACCAGTGTCTGGCAATAATATGGAGGTAGTGCGGATTTGAGTAAAACAAGCTCAGATCAAATCCCACAAAGATGGAGTTTCTAGTGATCAGTAGACTTCTGCACACCTCAATAACACTATCCTAGGCCAAAGTTCTTCATAACATGACAAATTCCATGTTTTAGAATATAGTTCAAAATCACATTGAGATCCTTAAGTATAATACTTCTCCTCAAAAGTGACGTATGTAGTAATTTGAAACCAAAACAAGATTACGTCTGGACAAGACCAAATCATATGAATTAAAGAATCTTCTCATTTCTTACAATGCCAAAATAAAAAAAAAATTAATGCCTGTTTTTTTTTTTAAAAAACAGACTTTAAGGGGTCCAATAAACACAAACAGTATTTTGTATTGAAATAAATTCATTTTTAAATCATAATAGGCATATTTCACATTTCTTAATACCTGGATCCATTGATTCTCCAAAATTGGGCATCCCAATTCTTCAGTCCACAATTCAAAATGTTTTTAAAACTTCATAAATGCTCAGACACTGTCTGGTGCACATATATAGATTCCAGATTATTAAATAAATGCTAGTACCCCAGTATATTTAGTTGGAAAGTGCTAAAACGACTGAGGGCTCAAACATCTTCCTTACAAGAAAAGCCTAAAATATTTGGGTTCTTTACATTAAAAAAAAACTGAATGGGGACACAATTGGGGTATAAAATCATTCCTGATATGGAGAAAGTGAACAAGGCTATCCAATGGTTCTTACTGGGGGAAAAAGGACTTCTTTAAACAGCACATATTTAATGTGTAGAATTCATTACCAAAACATGTGGTGATGGGCACTATCTTTAGATTGGATAAATTTATGGAGAACAGGTCAGTTGGGCCTTGACCTGGCCATTTTTATGTTAAGTTTATTTCTCCAAAAATGAACAGATGCTTTCCTACATGACAAACAGTTGGACCAGAAGTAGGCAACCTATTGCACTCCAGATGTTATGGGACTACAACTCCCAGCATCCTTTGGAAGCATGGTCAACAGCGAGAAAGTGGGGGGGGGGAACTTCAGCCATATCTTGACTACCATAGGTTGCCGAGATACTGCCTAATTTAACACATACCACATTGCATTAATTTAGGCCTTAGTTCAGATACTGTCCTAAGCCATATACTGGCTTCACATAACATATTGTCATACTATAGTTTGCTTTTTTGGAGTAGGGCAATGCAAATCAACAGCCATATTGATTTGTACATTCTGGTTTATGCGATTTACCGTGTTGTGCAATCCAGTGAATTGTAGTTTGCACAATGAACTATGATTAAACAATCCATGGCTTGTTACGATGTGAGAACAAAGTCATAATGTAGTCAGTTTGCCTTTGAGTTGGTATATTGTACAACCCTATGACTTGCACTTAACCATGGTTTATAACTTAATATGATGTGTGACTGCATACACTAAGATGTTTCTCCAGACTTACATTCCATGCAAGTCTGGTGATGTTACATTGTGATATGAATTATATGGGTCTTGGCAACCCAATTAGCACCTTCGTTGCTGTTGGAGACTTGACTGGATTGTGATGGACCAGACCATGCAGCTGGCCTAATTATTTCCTTTGGTTTCCACCTATTGCTACTGCACAGAACCAGTTTGATGGGGGAGCCTGGTATAAGTATGATGCACCTAATTGTAAGAACTATAATCCATTACAGGATTATAGGACCAGAAGGACCAGAAGTCTCCCATTCTCAGGAATAGGATAAGAATGTCTTCTGGAAAGCCACTAACTCTTGTTATAGTCAACACTGGGCAAAAGGGACCAACTAGCTAGCTCAGTTCTTTCTCAAACTTGGCAACTTTAAGATGAGTGGACTTCAACTCCCAAAATTCCCCAGCCAACATGCTGGATGGGGAATTCTGGGAGTTGAAGTCCACACATCTTAAAGTTGCTGAGTTTGAGAAACACTGATTCTAGCTTAATATATAAAAGCGTCCTAAGTTCTGAAAAAACAGCAGTGGTTAACTTACCAAGAGAATCTGCTTGATTTTCAACCGTTTCATTCACCTTCTTAGCTACTCTGGCAACAGCTTCACCCATTTTTTTCTCCATGCAGGTATGTTCCACCACAAAAATCCTTTAAGGAAGGTCCTACAGCTAAGCAAACAAACAATAACAACAAAATCAAAATAGGCTCCACAGTGCTAATACTTCACAAAGGGTTTCAAAACAGCTTTTCTGAAAGAAAAAAAAATAATAAAGTCAATGTGCGCCTAAAATTTACTAAGGTCCACTAATGTTTAACAGATTAATGTACCTGAAGGAGAAATGGCTTGTCCCTCCTATTAGCTGAACATTTACACAGAAATAAATTCAATGTGTAAGCACATCTTGAAATGCAGCTCTCCATCAGGATGATGTGTGTGTATGCAAACACAGATGTTCAGAAGAAAGCAAATAGGGAAAAATGTTTATATACTAAGCCTCTGTTTGGTATGTTTAGCAGATATATGCATTAATAGGAAATCCCTTTTTTCTGGATTGCCTATTACAGCGCATCTCCATAGGGCCACCCTATCTATATGGCAAGAATTCAGAAAATGACTAGCAGCAAGTTTCTAGGAGATACAGAAAGTTCTAACGCTTAGTTTCCATCAAGCATTTGTCCAGATGTTTTACTTCTAGAGGAAGAAATGGCAGACTGAAGATGGCTTCGCAAAAAGCAGAGCCAACAACCATGGTGGAACGAAGATCCAGCAAGTAGACCAGCTCTTCAAAACCTCTCCAGACAAAGAGAGGACTTGAGATCACCTACAAGTGCTCCAGACAGCTGTTCCTTATAAGGAGACTGCAAGATAGCGATATCCAGTGGGTTTAGAGCTCTGGGAGATGAGAGAATAGCCATCTTGCTCAAACTGTGGTCGGTGCCTTTGAAAGGACACTGGGTTCGCATACTTCCATTTCTAATCACTTTCAGAAATTGCTTGTTCAACTATTAGAAACCTTTAGATTGACAAGTTTGATAGCACTGGGAGAGTTTCCTTCAATCCTTAGTGAAAGGAAGTTTTAACTTCAAGTTTAAGAACTTAAAAAATTGGGGGGGGGGGGTTAAATAGCAAAAGGGTTATTAAAACTTTGATTTTAGAAAGTTACAAATGGACTAAGGGTCCAGATAAATTTGAAATAAGATTTTGGAATTTAGTATAAAGAATTCTTCCCATGGGAAAATGCTTTTGTTTTGATTTTTTGAAAAAAACATAATAAGATAAGATTTTAAGAATTGGACACTAGAGGGAACTAAAGATTACAATTAAAGGAGAGGAACACATAAACTTGACTTACAATTACAGAATGAACCAAAATATTCTAACACTGGAAATATTGAAGGTCACTTTTGAAAAACGGAGTCAAAAGTTAATATTAACAACATCAACAGTGATATTTGCCTCTATGGACAGACTGTGTCTAAAAGCTGTTATTGAAGAGGAACAAGTTTTACCTGATAAGACAGAGACTAAGTTGAAAGTGGATTTACAAATGACAGGCTACAAGAATGACATGGAAAAAGATGTAACACTGGACATACAGAGGAAGGCAGCTGATGTTTTAGTAATTAAAAGGGACACACAAATAATAAACCAAGAGAGTGACCTGAATAATTTTTCTATATTGGATTTACAAAAGAGGACTGTTAAAGTTTTGAAGAATCTTGTGAGAAGGGACAAAGAAAAAATGAAATAAATCAAGTTCTATGACATTATTTGAATGGACTAAAGATTAAGATTGTTGGAAGTAAAAGAAAGGAATATAAAGTTGGTTTATTTGATCAAGAACCCTTAATTTTTTTGCTGACACCAGGACTGAAAAGATGATGTTTTATGGATTTGTTTATAGATAAAAGATGGGATATGGGAAGAAGAGATCATTTGTTGTATTTTAACAGGAGGTGATAAGTTACTAAAATTGTTTATACTTGTGATGAAGGTGGAAAGTCTTTATATATTTCTTTTTCTTTACTATAGTAAAGAACTTTTCTATTTTTTCCTTTTTTTCTTTCTTTTCTTGGATTTGTTTATAGATAAAAGATGGGATATGGGAAGAAGAGATCATTTGTTGTATTTTAACAGGAGGTGATAAGTTACTAAAATTGTTTATACTTGTGATGAAGGTGGAAAGTCTTTATATATTTCTTTTTCTTTACTATAGTAAAGAAACTTTACTATAGTAAAGAACTTTTCTATTTTTTCCTTTTTTTCTTTCTTTTCTGCACCTTCCTCTCTTTCTTTTTATTCTTCTTTTTTTAGTTTTAGTTTTTACTGTTGTAATTATAATACTTAATAGAATTGCTATAAAAAAAAGCATTCATCCAGATTTTCAAGGCCCAGATACAGTAACCTAATCTTTAATATCTTTCATTTTGTCCCTAACTCTAATCACTTTAATATCCATGTGGGAAGTAAAATATGATCCAACTGCATAATGGCTGTGTTTGCACGCAACAGTAACCCAGCTTTTTAAAACATTCTGGCTTACTCAGGAACCACCAATCTTTTGGTGCTTATTGCTTAATTGCTCCTGCTTGGCTTCTGTGCTAAGTGGAAGCAAACAACATTAGACAGCTCTGGTCATGGTTATAAGTGATTCAGCATTTCTGGCTGGTTTTTCCTTCAAAATGAACAAGCCAGAATCAGAAACCAAGTCCAAAGCATGATCTCCAGGCAAATAAGGCCAATGAATTATCTTCACGTACTTCTGGCTCTCCTGATCCACAGAACAGAAGCTACTCTGAGTCATTTCCAAAGATTCTTCTAAGATGGAAGCCAAAAACCTGCAGAGCTTAAATCAGTCCTATCCATTAAATAATGCTGAGAATACAAAGACCCATCAACAGCTGCCAATTGCAATTACAGGGGAAATATACACAATTCAGCATTTCAATATACTGCTGCTGCCTATTCAAAACTATCAAGCCTGAATTCTCTGATTTATGCAAGGTTTCTGCTTTCATCCCATTTTCAGTTATATCTATTTTTTTCTTTTTGCTATAGAACTTCATGGTGATGTGAAATTCATTGGAGCAAGATTTGTGTATATACCCACCCACAAAGTTAGCAGTATAAGCACTTACCCAAGTCATCATGGTTGTTTGTCTGAATCTCAGAAGACCACTATTCCACCAAGGCACAAATTTGGGTGAGTACATATATATCAGAGAAAGAAGCACAGTATATATTGTGCCCCCTCTCAAGATGTGTTTGGGTGATGATGAGGATACAGGAAAAAGATACAGATAACTTCTAATTATTTTATTGTATAAAATTTGGAGGCCGCCTGACTCCAAACAAGTCCAATCATCTAGCACATACAGCTGGAAAAGATGCAGTAGAGATCAACACAAAGGATCTCTAGGATAGGAGAAAACTCCTCATAAGGAAAGGTTACAATATCTGGGGCATCTTAGCAAAAAAAGGAAGGGAGAGAAATATAAGATGCATAAAATGTATTAATGGTTTGGAGAGAAAGTAAACAAGATACAGTGTTTCTTTCTCTCTCATAATACAAATCAATACTGTGGTACAGATTAAAGATGAAGTCCTAGGCTTTATGGACAGATTAAAAATAAACAAATTCCCCTAGCTACAATAGTATTCAGCAGAGGTTTAACACAGATGTGTAATTACTGATCTTCTAACTAAACTGTGTAGCCTTGTTCTAATACCTCGGTTCACAAACGCTTCTGTTCACGAACAATTTGGTTCGTGAACAGCAGCATTTGCACATTTTTGCTTCCATTTGCAAACTCCGCATCGGGTGATGAACACGACCCGCGGCCATCTTCCCTGTTCTGACATGTGGTCGTGGCTTCCTCTAGGCGAGATCGCGGTCGCAGACAGACACTTGCTGTGAAGCTTTTTGGTGTCACCTCAAGCAAGGTTAGCGTTCTCTCTCTTCATACTGTACTATACTTTGTTTCATATTTTTGTGGTTAAAAAAAAAAAATACATATGGTTCAAAACGGATTAACCTTATTTACATTGAACCTTATGGGAAAATTTGATTTGGTTGGTGACCAATTCGGTTCGCAACCAGAATCGTGGAACGAATTAAGTTCGTGAACCAAGGTACCACTGTATTGCCATCTCTGTTTTCAACAATTACAAAAAGGCCAACATAACTTGACAGGACGAAATTGTAATTTTATTCTTTTGTTTTTCTTTTGGTGAAAGGACTGAGGCAGGACACAGGAAATTATAGAACAAGTTAACATTTAACCTGAATATATTGGTGAAAAGGAATAATAAACATTTTTCCTGAAAAAGAGTTCAAGGATCAGCTACTGTTCTTTGAAAGTACTGTATCCAGAAGAATTAATTACAGAAGTAATCCTACAGACATTATAAACTTAGGTTTTCAACCCCCCTTTGACAAAGTTCATCCCCAAAGGGGCCTAAGAAAATTTACTGCCCATGGGATTAGCAGATTGGTCCTGTCATACTCTGCAAAATGTGTGAAAAAATCAGGTAGCAGTTACAAACAGAGGTCCCATAAAGATCTGTATTTTGGACCAGAATTATTTAACTAGTTTGTAAATGGCCAGGAATTAGAGGTGACTAACATGGACCAGATAAATTCATGGACATAGGCGGGTTCCATGGTTGAGCTGCATTAAACCAGATGACCACTTGTTGGCACAAAACAGTTAAAGTTTTCTGTATCTCTTTGCTGCCTTCTAGTGGTTGGAAAGAGCAACTTTACATCTAGGGTTGGAAAAAGCAACTAGTTCTAATGGCTGTACTATCTTCTGAATCAAGGGTCATCAAGGAATCTTATCAAGCATTCCTAATTGTGTGTTCCCCAAATATATCTGGACAGCCACAATGGATGAGGTTAGTATGCCGTAAGTAAACATCCTCCAGCTTCCCTGTTCATTGCCCATAAACTGCTGGGGGGAACATAGCAACATCTGTAATATCACAGGCAGTTTATCCTATGCTAGAGTAGTCAAGGGTTTAGGATGTAGTTAATAAACCATATTTTATGGCATACTATATTATACAATCTAGGCCAAAAGTGATTATTCAGCAAATTATGGTTAACAACCCATTTTTTAGAATCCTGCATACATCCAGAGAATAGCAAGGAGAGATAAGAAGGCCTTCTTAAATGAACAATGCAAAGAAATCGAGGAAAACAATAGAATGGGGAAGACTAGAGATCTC